CTTGCACCCCCTTTCCAAAGCCCTTCCCTTCTCTTGATGGTCTGTTACCCCAAATCTACGCAACTTAAACAAAGTATTTTAGAGCAGTGCTTCTCACACTAATTGTGGGGAAGGACTAGTTTTTAAATTTTAAAAAATTCCCCGTCTTGGCAGACTAATACCTTTGTAAAATTCAGTAAGAATGAATTACTGGAAAAATAAAAAAGCAAAGATGTAAAAATCAAGTCAACTGGTCACATGCTTAGATGTTGGGATAATGCTATAAAAATTTCAGTGCTGTCTCTAAATCCCTGCCCTTAGCTCACTGCAGACTAGTGTCTGCCTGGCAGTGGTCCACAGAGCACACTTTGAGCGGCACTGCTGTGGAGGCCCTGCAAGATTATGGTTTGGTACACTCTGTTCGTAATAATAATACCAGCCTACTGCAATATGTCTGGGTCTTTGGTGCCATAGAGAAAGAAATGGAAGGTGTATTAGTCTGGGTTCTCCAGAGAAACATAGCCAATAGGATATAAATATGTGTATATGTGTGTGTGTGTGTGTGTGTGTATATATGAAGATTTATTGTAAGGAATTGGCTCACACGATTATGGAAGCTGAGAAGTTCCACTGCCTGCAGTTGGCAAGCTGGAGACTCAGGAGAAACGATGGTATGATCTCCAGTCTGAGTCTCAGCTCGAGTCCAAAGGCAGAAGACCAGTGTCCCAGCTTAACAGTTGGGCAGAGAGAATGAATTCTCCCCTCCTCTGCCTCCAACAGATTGACTGAGGCTCAGCTTGGTCAGGGAGGGCAACCTGCTTTGCTCAGTGTATGATTCATATGTTAATCTCATCCAGAAACACTCTCATAGACACACCCAGAATGATGTTTATCCAAATATCTGGGTGCCCTGTGGCCCAGTCAAGTTGACACATAGAATTAACCACCACAGAAGGGCACCAGCTCATGTCAATGTGAACGGGGCTCCTTGTTTTATCACTCTGTCAAGAAATGTGCCAGCTCCTTGACCCTAAAAACAAGAACCACCCCTTTGATGTTTAACCTCCTGACACCATGTCCATTATGTGACCATAGAATCAGGCTCCGTGGTGCCCAGGAAATAGACTCTTCTTCAGCTCCTGTGCTTTCCATTCAAATAGCCCCTCTTCCTGAGGCAGCCAGCTGCTTGCTGACACCACTCACCACTCATCACGACCCCTGGTGTTACTCAGGCCCTCAGATACCTGATCGCTGAGAACTTGGTGCAAAATGCCAGCCAGCTTCTCTCTGAAGCTCACCCTTTGCCAGGTCCTCACTGACCATCTTTCGTAACCCAGAATGTTTGATTGTCAATCTGATATTATCTGTGACTTCCTCTTTTCCCTGTACCCTGCTTCATATAATCCTTAGCAAATAATTATGATCTTTATTGAGAATGTGCTTGGTGCCAAATCTGGTGTTTTCTATAACTTATTTTATATTTTAAATCTTCATATTCAGTATGTATCAAAACCCTCATTTACAGAGGAGGAAACAGAGGCTTACAGAAGATAAGTAACTTACATGTCTATGAAGGGCAGAGCTAGGATTGAAATCTAACGCCGTTTTTGCCCCAAAAGTCCTGATTCTTAACCATGGAATCATACTGCCTTACAGAAGATACTGAGAGGTTGTTCACATGATAAACAGTCAGTTAAATAACATTTCTCAATGAGTAAAACTGCTGTTGAAAATATTTATATATATTTTTTGTGCATTGCCCTCCATATAAAGATCGATCTTCAAGTTTTAGTTTAGACTGTGCTTGCCTTTGCCGATGAGCTTGTGTGTTTTCCTTCCTTCCCCAAAGAGAAAATCTTGCTTGGGTTTCCCCAGGTGGCTGGGAGTGAAATTTAGTCCTTAATTGCAGCAGCTGTTTTTAGCTTACTTGAGATAATGTTCTTCCCATTTTTGAACATGACTTTATTTATCTGTATGGATGGTTCAATTGCACATGTTTTTTTTCCTACTAGACATTGAGCATTTCGGGTGCAGAGACTGAAGGAACTAAATATGTAGCTAATTTTGTAAGCTGCTTTTTCCAGAAGCAAATTACATTGATATGTCAAATGGAATTCAGTTATGACCAATTTTTGTGTGTGTTTTTTTTCTGTCAAGTACTCAATGTTTATTACGTGGCTGTACTGGGGCGTGGCTTGAATATGTTCGTTTGGTATGACTTTGTTACTAAGCTGCAAAAAATGTGTGTTGGGGATCCAAAGCTTCAGACAGAGTCTAGGTAAAAGGTGATAATTAGAAAATGCTTAGAAACTAAAGTGATGAGTGGTGGAATGATCTGAGTGGGGCTCCTCCAGGCAAGGAAATTAGATAAGATCAGGATGGGTGTCTTCCTGTGTTCATGAAGAACCGAGATGATGGTTAGAATAACAGCTGGTGAGCAGCCTGGGTCCTGCGGCCAGTGCTCAGAGCTGGAGGCACACAGAAGCCTTAGCCAGTGTTGACTTCTAGTTCCCTGAACCATGGGAATTTGGTCTTTGCTCAGACGATCACGGCACCTGGTCCCCCAAACCAACATTGGCCTCAGGAAAAGGGGGAGCGGCCCTAACGCATGTGTCTGATACTCGCTTTTAAACCTGCTCATTCTGAAATTTCACTTGGAGAAAAGAAGAGATGGCAATCGAAGTGTTCTTCCAGAAAAAGATTCTCGTTTTCTATTTATGTGTGAGGATAGATTTGGCTTGGGAGGGGGAAGTCTGCCTTATAATTAGCTGAAGATGAACGTTTCATAATTGGCAAATGTATGTGGTCTTTGTGACTAGCACCCTGCCGTTGACGATCGGCCTGTGGATGTGTGTTTTGTATGCCGTGGAGAGTTCGGGTGGTTGGGAGGCTGAACCTGACTCTGGCCGCAGTCCTGTATCTGTTTTACTTTTTGGGGCCCAGAACATTGGTGAGAGTTGTCTCAGTTGTTATGATGAATGAAAAGTACCTTGATAGAAATAGAGACATCAGGAAGTGTGGCCTATTTTTTTAGGAAGATAATTAATTCGTTTTTAGACATCTTGAGTTTAAAATGAGAGTTTGACATCCGGATGGAAATGTCTTGCTTGGCTCAGCTGTGGCTGCTTAGTGGAAAACAGCACTTGGGAGGCTCATGTTCTAGAAAGGATTCTTTCACTAACCGGTTTCGTGTTCTTGGTCAAGCCCTGGAACTTTTAGGAGTCTTGCTGGTTGACCTCTAAGTCAGCAGCTCTCAGCCCCAACAAGGACATGCTGCTGTGCGCTCTAGCCTGGGGAGTGGAGGGCATGTCCAGCTGTGCCTGTCACTCAGTGGTGTCCCAGGGAAAAGAATACAGGAGCCCCACCCCCTTGCATATGCCAGCTCCGGCATCCATGAGCAGGGACGATTGCCGCCGTGGGGATTCTCTCGGAGTGTGGTTTGAGGGTCACAAGGTTTGGCTGTCTTGAAAAGCTGTTCTCAGAGGCTGGCCTTCTGTTGGCTGTCTTCCTGTAATTTATACCTCGTTACTCAGCAGTGCCCAGAGACGCTGCTGGGGCCACTCCAGCTTATCCTACACTCACAAACTTTACTGCCAGATGGGCCTCTACAGGTGACTTACACGGAGTGTGATAGCCGTGTGGGGACAGAGCACAGGGGTCATTCCTCTCCCACAGAGCCCTGGCAGGGAGGCCCTCACCTTGGCTTGAATGCCCCCAGTGGCGGGAGATTACTCCTTCCAGGGCTGCCCAGTTCACCGTCTGGGAGCCCTGTTAGGAAGATGTTCTCTACCCATGTCCTGTAATTGGCTCCCTGTACTTCCCACCTACTCCCTAGTTCCCCTCAGCAGTCTATCAGTTCTCTGAGCCCCTTTCCAGATGGGGAAGCAGAACCTGACATGCTCAGTGGCTCACTCACTATAAGAGGGCCATGCCCTTTCCGCTGTGGAACGCCCATCTTTCTGTCTTTCCTTTCTCCTCTGTACATGCCCCCCCTTTTTAAGGGAGAGAGAGACAGAAACATCAGTGTGATAGAAACATCAATCCGTTACCTCCCATACATGTCCCAACCAGGGATCAAACCCACAACCTTTTGGTGCATGGGACAAGGTTCCAACCAACTGAGCCACCCGGCCAGGGCTGTACCTGCCCTTTCATTCTCCTTACCACACCCCTCTCCCTCTGCTTTCCCTTAACCTGGAGCCTCTGGCCTGCCTCGCACTGCTGTGGACTCCTAAGGCCCAGGAGTGGCCATCTGGGTAGAGCAGCTTTGCCTGGAGGGTTTGTTAGTCTGGGCTAAGGGGATGATTTAATTTCCTGGGAGAGGGCTGGAAGCTGCTTAGTTCTGAGACACCTTGAGGTGTGACTCACCTTTATAGTAGGGCAGGTGTGAGTGGGGTCTCAGGGGTGCGCTCATAGCCACTGGTGCAACCCGGACAGGTGTAGGGGCCACTTCTCAGACATGCAGCCTGTTATGCATATTTACTTAGAGCCTGGCATGTCCTACCTGCTTGAGCACTGTGTGAGTGGGACCTGCTTTACCTGGGAGAAGTGAAACAGTCGGACCTCTGCAAGGTCAGAGCCAAGATGTCCAGTCCCAGGGCAGCCTGACATTTCTGGGCTGCACAGTCCTTTCTTATGAGAACTGAGAAAGAGTTTATCAGGACAGGGAGAGGAGCAGAGAGTGTTCCTGTTTGTAGGGAGGGACAGCGTGGTGATGACATGGTGTCCACAGTCTGCAGGGACAACACGGTTCGAATGCATAATTCAGTGGGGAAAGTGAAGTAAGACATAAAGGGAAGGAAGGGATAGTACTTGAGACCATTTGGGAATTGATCAGGCCATGGGTACCCTGGGATTTTCTGACTATCTCCCTCTAGAGACGTTATTATTTAAAAGATAACGCTGGCCATCTGAAAGCCGGGGTGGCCTTCTAAGGAAGGAAGGAACGACTGACGATGTTCCTCTAAGGAGGAACGACTGACGATGTCTTTTTCTCTTCACCTCTCTTGTCTCGGGAGCAGGGAGAAGATGCCTTTCCACCATGTGACCGCTGGCCTGTTGTACAAGGGGAATTACCTCAACCGATCTCTGTCTGCTGGCAGCGACAGCGAGCAGCTTGCTAACATCTCGGTGGAGGAGCTTGATGGTAAGGAGCCCGCCCCGTCTGGGCGCTCAGCCACCCAGAGGGGCATTTGTGGCTATTGTGCATCTCGGGTGGAAGTGCCAGGCTCTGGCCACCGGTGTGGCCACGTCTGACTGGCTGAGGGAAAGAGTTCAGAGGTAAATTCTGCCCCAAGGACTCCTTTGTGTGGGATAGCCCTCGATGGCGGAGAGTCCCGCTTCCTTGGAAACTGACTGGGAGGACAGCCTTCACCTCCCCAAGTGTATTTTCCAGTTTATGGAATCTTTATCACCCATGGCGTTGTCATGTTGTTATAGTGTCATTTACGGAAGGGCCCAGCTGTGGGGGAGGGTTAGGCCCTGCTAATGGCCATCTCTTGACTGGCGGCCACAGTGCTTTGAATCTTGCCCAGATCAGAGTCGCCTGGAAGCCGCGTGGAGGTGGCAACGGACAGCAGTTGTTTTTATTGCCTCTGTTCCTTCGTAACACAGCTCAGCCCTGGGTATTCAGGGCAGGGTTGGGGTGGGGAAAAACCTGAGAACTCAATGACTAAATTCATCCTGGGACACTGCCCCATTGTGTCCCCATTGGTAAACCAACCCCCGATTAAAAAATAATTAAAATGGGAAAGAAGGAAATTTTTTCTGGAATAGAGACTTAGGTTGATTCAGCCAGATGTTTGCCTGGGTGCCACGTCTGCTGAGGCCAACCCAGAATCGGTTTCTCCAGTGTTTTGGAACGCTGTGTTCCTTGTAACACATTTTAAAACACGAAGTCTACATTTATTTTCTAAAAGAGAGAAGTCAAAATTACCCCAGATGGCTCACATCTTTGCTTTTAAGTGTAATGGTCCGAACCAGCGTGCCTTTTCTGTGCTCGTTTCTCACCAGGGGAAGGTGGGAAGATTCAGTGCTGGGCCGGGGAAGCCAAACGTGCTTCACGAGACGGGCGGCAGATGAGGGAAGCAAAGGATAAGGTCCTGTGATAGCTTTTCCTGCCCTTGTTTATTTTGTTGGCCTGTTTCCCTAAAGGCTTGTTTATTCACATGAGGGAGCAGTGGAGTGGCAGAGGCCGGTGGGCTGGATCCAGAGGAGGCTCGATGGCAGAGGGAGCGGGGATGAGGCAGGCAAGGCCAGGCTCCTTAGGGCCCGCAGCTGCTCACTGTGTTCTGGACAGACTGGTGGCCAGAGAGGACAGCAGTACTCTCGGATCTACTGGCCTTCAGCTGGCCAGAGAAGAGTCAGGTGCAGAACACAGATGCATGCAAGAGAGCCCTGTTGTGACCCTGTCCTGGTGACTGCAGAGAAGGCTGAGGCCGGGCTGGCTGTGTTTGGCAGGTGTGGTGAGGCTCAGGCTCTCCCACACCCCGAGGAGTCCACTCCCAGTGGAGATCAGGGCCGGTGGTGCATTGATTTGGTGGGTTTGGGAGTGTGTCTGTGCAGTTCCCCTGGGTTTATCAGTTAGCAGGAACCCCCCGAGTGGGGCCCTGCTGAGCAGAGGCTGAGGCCTGGCAACTCTTGATGAGGCCGAAATCCCTAACCAGATGAAGTTTGAAAATCACCTGTGGCTTTCCCAGATCCCACTTTCCTTCCCCCTCCCTCCTCCCTTCCAACTGCGCCATAAATAATCAAAAGATGACTTCTCCAAGACTTCTCAGAGCAGCTGGGTTTTCTCTGTTAGATCTGGGCCACCTCTGGGACAGATGGCCTTTCAAGAGGATGGCTGGCTAGGTTTGAGCCCTGCTCCCGCTTGGGCACCTGGCTGCATGTTCTTGGGCAAACATCAGAGTTCACCAGCTGTTTCACCCAGGTCCAGGCAGCTGGGCAGGGCTGAGAGGTGCCTTCTTACCAGGTGAGATGAGCAGGGAGTGACTCTAACAGCCCTCAAGCCCGGGTGGGCAGGCTCAGCAGTGAAGCTGGGGGCAGGGGGCCGGGTGGAATGAAGCGGGACTTCATGACCTACGGGCGCCTGGTGAAGATGCTGTGCTTGCTCTTCAGGAGGGTAATTGGGCTCTCTGCCTGCAGAGGAGCCGTTTATTTTCTGACGGAAGATTTCTTCTACTTTGTTATTTTTTGCCAAGGTGACCCCTGAGTTATGACGGCTCTTGCTTTCTTACGAGCATCGTGGGGCTTGGGCAGGGCTGTGCAGATGTGCGCTGGGTTTAGAGCAGGCGGGCTGGCAGGGTCTGAAAACCAGCTGGTGTGAATCAGTCTGGATGACTGTGCGTTGGTGCCTCGGGGAGCCAAGGTTTCCCAGACTTTGCCTGTTTGCTGTTCTCCTGGGGCTGCCTCCTGTCAAGCTGAATCCTCAAGTCCTGCTGTCCGAGGCTGCTCATTTTTCCTCAGAGGTCTTGAGGTGCTGCACAGGGACTTGATGTGTTGGACACTGATGTGTGTCCTTTGTGGTCCGGTTACCTCCTGCCCAGATACTAGTTGGGTACCACCCTTTCAGTGCTCCCCCCACTCACCCCACAACACTGCAGCCTCCTGCTTCAGGATTTCCACAGGGACAGGTTGGTTGGTGTTTATCACCAGGGACAGATGCCCCCTTCCTTCGGTGTAAGGGTCAAAGGTGCCCAGTTCCCTCTGAGAACAGGGTAGACAAGAGCCCCCCCCTCCCCACAGGCATCTCCAGCTGCCATTTACTCTGGGAAGTTTCTGTTTCTTCTCTTTACACAAAGCTCAGGAGGAAATAATGCAAAGCTGTGGCAAGTTGGCCAGACTGGAGTTGGAAATCACCCTACAAACAAACTCAACCACGATGAATTGGTTGAGATATTCATTCATTCATTCATTCCTTCTCATTTATTCATTATAGGAATGTTTACCCAAATGCCTTCTGCATAGAGGAGGAAATAAAATAAGTATAATGTTCATTGCCTGTCCCCAGAGAGTTTGGAGTCTACCCAGGAAGTTCATGTATATACATAATTAATTAGCAGTATCTTGCACTTTTACAGGGTGTCGTGTGAAATTTTATTAGACATATGAATTATAATCTTTAAAATACAATTTTCAAAATGCTATTTATTGAATAATCTTGTGATGCCATCTTAATCTTCAACTAAATTTGCCTCTGTTTGAAGTTCATTCATTTTCATTAATATATGATATTCCAAAGTTTATAATATAACTCTATTTCTATATCCGTTCTATTCAGGATGGATATTTGAGTTTCCAGTTTGGGGCTATCAGGATCTAATCCAGACGTGCCCCTTCTGTTGCAGCTGTGATTAGGGTCTGCTCTCCTTATGGCTTCCTCGTAGCAGCTGTGAAATATCTGGGCATAGGTATTGCACACTGCTTTTGCCAGTAACAGTGTCAGCCCCCTGGATTGCTGTCTCGGGTCTTTCTTTGAGCTGAATCTTCGTTTGCTCACACATCTTTGATGGTTATTATTTCTGTTCTTTAGGAATGCCTCTCATCTTAATGCTAGATTTTCATTCATTTTTCACACTATGTGTCTCTTCTCACACCATTTTTCTCTGTTTGCATGTGTACATTCTGGATTCCTTCCTGAGTGTGTCTTCCAAAGCACTGAGTTAGTTGTCTGCCTTTGTTTAAAAATTTTAAATTATTTATTATAAATTTTAAAGTAATTTCTATAATATGTGTGTATATATTAACAATATGTGTATATATCAATGTAATACTCATGTATATATTATACATATGTACATCAATTACATATATGTATATAGAAAGCCTTTTTATCCAAGTCTAATGCTGCTTTTATTTTGCATTAGAAGATGTTTTCATATGGTCTGTTCTGCTTTCTGATTCAACCATTATAGTTCTTTGTAGGTCCAGTATCTGTGAGCACACAAGGTTTGTAAAGAGTCTTTAGTCTTCTCTGTTCTATTTTCACTTTATTCCAGATCTGGGATAATTTTCCCCTTTTCAGCCTCAGACTGGAGAGACCAGTTTCTATTTGACATTGATCTGTCTAGTCCATGCCTGAGGGCAGAAGTGGGATCTTGATGGCCCCTGATGCTGGGTTAGTTCCCGTGCCACAGAATTATATAACTCCTCTGCTCTTCTCTCTGTTTCCAAACTGGTGTCCAGCTTTCAGTGGTCCTGGGTCCATTCATGTTCTCATCTGTCCTGCAAATGATCCTGCATGGGCCATGTCAACCCATGGCCCTGGCTGCTCTCAGAGGCGTGTTCCTGTGAGATGGGCTTGGACTGGGGACTAGATCACCATGGAAACAGTTTCTATGAAATAGGGAGTGACTGCTTGCTTTGCCAGTCACTGTAGCCTCTGGGTCCCTGGTAAGGGCAAACAACGGTGGTGAGTCAAGGTCTGCCTTCCCAATGTGTCACTGTAGTTCTTGGGTTGGTGGAGGTTGTGTTCCCAGTTTCATTAGCATTGGAATTAGTGGAAATTCTCTTCAGCCTCTGACGTGTGGGCATATCTCAAAATTTGGAGGTATTTTCATTTCAGTTTGGGGTGCATGTATCCATCATGAAGCCCCACTCTCGCAGTTGGCTAACGTCATGTGGACTGCTCCAGAATCACTGCTTCCCATAGCCCACTTTCCTCAGTGACCCATGTTTGCCTAATCCAGTGGACACAGTATTTATTCTGTAGCATCTGGCAGTGTTTTCACACCTTTGGTTTTGAAGTTTGTCACCACCTTGGCACCATGTCACTAGCTGGCTCTCCTCCTACCTCTTTTCTGCCTCTCTGTCACTTTCAGTGTTCATTGTGAGCCCTTACCCCCGCCCACTCCTTACGCACTGCTACCTCCTGGGGTTGGTTTCGTTGGCCTCCCATGGATGTCTACGGCTGATCGCCTCAAGATCTACATCTTCGCTTCCTATCTCCCTCCTTGATTTTAGACTTGCTACTTATAGTCTTGGGTATAATTCCCACAAGTATCTTAAACTCCAAAGATCCAGAGCGCTATGGATTTCTTTGTTCTCCCAAACTGCCCCTCCTGTGGAATTTTCCCCATGAAATTATATCACATTATACTCAGGCAGCCACCGTGGAGTCATCCTCGATTCCTCTTTTTCTCTTAC